CTCTGCGTTTTGCTGCAGTCCCTCATCCTCGCTGCTTAAAGAAGAATGCTGTATATGTAAAAAATCAAACTATGCCGCATCCCCCACACTGCAAGGTGCAAGGGTTAAGTGCTTGTTTTGGTCTAGGGTCGAAAATACAGAAGATGCTCTCGCCTAAATCTTGGTCCAACGGAAGTTACCGCTCACCTTTCTACACCCCTCCACTCTGGCTGTGGCACGTCCCTGCGTGTCCTCCTGTCCAATGCAAGTCAATAGAAGTGGTGATGTCACGGATTTTTAGAACCCGGGGGAGAAAAGGCTTGGGAACTGGAAGAAGCAGCTAGGCGGGATCAAGTAGTAGGTGAGTATATCTGCATTATTTTAGACCCTGGACAGCATAAATGAGCAGGTAACCCTTGCAGTGTGGGGGTTTGTTTTATGTGTTGTCAGAGCTGTCCTGTTCCCAAGGCACACTTACATTTAACCTTCTCCATTCTTATCTTGGGATTAGGAGTCAATTAGTGGCTTCATTTGGTAATGGAGACAATGGGATGGATTGAGTAGTTTAGCAAAAGAAAACTGGCTAAAGCGGACATCACTTAGTCCTCAAAAATACTGAAAAACTGTGTATGTGGTCAGCCCACAATAGGAAATTGAGAACTAAGTGCATTTCTGCTAGAACACAGAAGTATGTATGTATGTATGTATGTATGTATGTATGTATGTGTATTATATAAGCTCTTTTATTTATTGCTGACCCCTTTCTGAAAATACTAGTTGCCCACATCTACTGAGTATTCCTTCCCATTAAAGGGGACTTTTTAAACTCAAATTTAAATTCTACCAATGTATTCCTCTATGATTACTTATAACAGACATGTCGGGTGTAAAATGCTGGAATGTTTAAATACTTACACTTGCAGAGCATTCACTTCCTGCTTTTGTAGGGGCAAATGACTTCAGTTTGGCAAAGCAATACACACTGGGATTGCCTTATCAGCAGAGCATTGCTGGGAAATCTCATGTCAGTGAAAGGCATTTTCCTCCCCTGAGATGATGTGCATGGTCACATGTCCTAGTCACATGTGCCAGAAATCCAGGAAGTAAAAGGGAGAGCTTTTAATCTGCCCTTAGTTAACATGGCCACTGTCAGAAGACTGGGGATGAAAAGGTAAATAAGGAATGCAAAGCCTGCGATTATCTAGAAGTATGTGTGTAGATTAAAATAACACACCTTGAGAAATCATTAGTAATGACAAAGATATGAGTAAAGGTCCGCTTTAATGTGACCCGGGCTCTTCTATGCCTGAAGTGTGTGTGAAGTTGCATTTTTCATGATTAGGCTTCCTTCACACTTGTGTTTTGTCTGCAAAATCTGTCAGGCTAGATGCTGTGTTTATGCTTCTAGATGCATAAGATGGCGCGTGTTTACACACGCATGCATTTTGATACATCTGTACTTTAATCATTGAAACAGTCCATTGAAGTAGCCAATGAGATTTCTGCAAATAAATGTGTCTTGCATTACATGCATTTTGGTGCATTTAGAAGTTCAAACAATTCCTGGGCACACCTGACTTCTATTTTTTTTTTCTAAACACAGCTAAACTGACATAGTTACATAGTTACATAGTTACATAGTATTTGAGGTTGAATAAAGACATTAGTCCATCAAGTCCAACCTATTAGGATCTCATTCTAGGAGTACCTGTACCCCTGTATATTACCTGTACCCCTGTATATTACGGTCCCTTAAGAAATCGTCCAAAAGTTTCTTGAACAATTCCACATTCTTTGCTGAAATCACTGTCTGTGGCAGTGAGTTCCAGACCCTAACTGATCTTACTGTAAAGAACCCCCTTCGCCCCTTGTGCTGGAATTTTTTTTCCACCAATTTTAGGTGGTGGCCTCTAGTTTTTGTAATGGAGTTAATTTTAAACAGTTTATCGCTGTAGATAAAAGCATCTATATGGAAGGTGTGAATCCATTGGAAATCATTAGATGCATATTTATGTTTAGAAAAACATTTTGGATGCATATAAACGCATCTGATCGCACCTAGTGTGCATGTAGTCTTATATGTTTACCCATGGCGTATGTTAAAAGAACTATATGGGGTAACCTTTTTATCCCATAGTTCTCTTTAGGGTCACGGGATGACATATACGGAGAGCCGCAGGCCGGACAGATCGCGACAATACTGTTGAGATCTACCCAGATGTGTGAGTGACAGCGGGCTCTGCCTATCTAGAGGCAGAGCCATCTGTGCCCACCCCCTACTCAGTCTGTTCCTCCAGTCAGCGCTGGAGAATCGAGGAGGGGGGGGGGGGGGGGTCCCGGGGGGG